AAAAAGAAGAAAAGATTATTGCAGACGGCAGGCAGCTTGATTGTATAAACGAGATAACTGTTAGCGAGTCTAGTAGGTTCTCAAATTTCCAAAAGTGGTAAATCGTTCATCGAAGCAGGACTTTCGGCTCTGCAGCATATTGTGAAGTATGGTCCTATTCTTGCAATTACATATATGCACTCAAGCTTTCCACTTTGCTCTGCATTAATCATGATATAAGTTAGATTAACACGCGTGCAGCATAGGATACAAACTTACTATAGCTGAAGCAGGAAATTCTTACCCAAACCTGGAGTTTCCCACCAGAAGGAGAGGATCATGCCCACTTCAAAAGTGGGACCTACATTGTGATGATCCTTACCATCTGATGTGAAACACCTTGTATAGTCATGTGGTTTTGATAGAGAGTCCTAACATATGCATCAAGAACTTTTTGTTTGAAGTCGTTGATTAGGATTTTAATCGCTATTCGAGTTTTATTTGGAGTACTCATTTTAAAAGGAATAGGGTTAAAATTAATTAACAAGTGGTTCCCTAATTGGTATCCCACAGTACTGTTCATGTGACTGTTCACAGAAGCTTAAACAATCTTCTCAACTATTCACTCTGTTACACAAAGTAGAAACTAAAAGTCAGTAGAGAGGTCAGCCACCAACTTACCAGATTTTATCTCATATGTCAACCTCAGCCATTTGTTAGAAGCAAGCACCAGCGCGGGAGCTGTCTCGACTCTGCGACCTGGTTGTATATGGGAAATGGCAGCTGTGTTTGTCTTCTGACCATTCCCAATGATAAAATTACATTCTGATTGATTAAACTGCACCTCCAACTGATCGATCTCGACATTTATTGGCAATTGGGATTGAAGTGATATAGTGATGAGAGACGGAGCACCTGGCTTAATTATTGGTTGGTGAAAAGCAACCAAAGCAAGAAGCACCACCCTTAGGGGACTCACAAGATCAATCTCAACATAAAGAGGATAGTCACTATTTACTTTGAGGTGACTGTTTTGTTCTTTCAGATGAAGTTCTGATTCCCCCCTCGCAACCTCAAACGCTTCCTTGTGTATCTTTGCTCTCTGTGAAAAAGTTGCAGGCCCAGCTGGACCACATTCTTTAGATGATAGCTCAACAGCATCACTTATTTCTGGCAGTGCAGCCATTTCAAGTGAATATTCTATGAAGTCTTTCACTTGAACTAATACCAATCGAGCACTCTCTTAATTACCCAAG